ATCCTTCTCAACACATCTCTTTCACTAGTAAGTGAACAGTCTCGAGGCGGATCATTTTCTCTGCCTTTCCCCTTCCTCTTCTCACACTAAAATTTATTCTTGTCCTTGCATAGGGCGCTACCGTTGTGATCATTCCAAAGTTCGATCTAACGCTCTTTTGCACAGTTATCCAAAAATACAAAGTCAACATAGCTCATGTCGTTCCGCCTATTGTACTATTGTTAACAAAGAGTCCGGTCGCAAGGACTTTTGACTTTTCGAGTATACAAATGTTCATATGCGCCGCTGCACCGTTGGGCGAGACCTTGACGAATGAGTTCTATAATATCTATAAATTACCTATAAAGCAAGGATATGGTATGCCCCTCGCATACTTGTTGCTTGAGAGTCAAAGTGATATTTTTTCTGATCCTCTTCCAACTATCACGTGTAGGTTTAACTGAGACAACGCCGGTTACTCATCTTGATAGCACCTCGGATCCAGTCTTTGGTAGGTACTCCCATACAAAGGGTTACGGGTATAATTTGGAATCTAATTAAATATCACATCCAGGTTCAATTGGGAAGCTTTTGCCGAACCTTGAGGCAAAGATTGTATCCGAAGATGGCAAAGGTGAATGACGTGCCAGTGTTTCTTTTCTTTTCTCAAATACGTGTTCTCCGTTGATCGTCACTAAAAGATACTTGTCTTGTTTATCACAGAGCTCGGATATAACGAACGCGGAGAATTATGCGTTCGTGGACCCAATGTCATGAAGGTATGTACTGTATGTGCGCAATCGACTATAGCATACGATACTAAATAAGAAAAAGCAATAATAATTGTACTCACGCAAATACTATGCTTGATGTTAGGGTTATTGGAACAACAAGGAGGCAACAGATGCGTGTTTTGACAGCGAAGGATTCTTTCATACTGGCGATATTGCGACCCTTGCAAGTGTCATTTCTAAACTGCCTTTTCCTTGTGACAATTATTTGTATTAATACTGATTAGTTGTTGTCTATTTTTTCTCTTTATCGCGTCGACAGGATGAGAATGGTGGGCTTAAAATCTTTTACCTTACATCTCAGTTACTTATCAATAAATAGACTCACAATCCTTCCCTTTCCATTCTTTCTTAGGAAATTTCTTTATTGTTGACCGCTTAAAAGAACTAATAAAATACAAAGGCTTCCAGGTACCTTTTCCTTCTCTTCAGCCCTAATCACAGCCTATCCCTATGTAAACAGTTTCTGACCAATCCGATCTATCTAGGTTGCCCCGGCCGAGCTTGAAGCCCTCCTTTTAAACCATCAAAGCGTAGCCGATGCAGCCGTTGTTGGTGTTTTTGTCGAATCGGAAGCGACAGAGTATCCTATTGCATACATTCACATCAAATCAGGCGTCGAACAGACTGATGAACTCAAGAAAGATATTCAAAAGTATGTTGCAGATAATGCTGCACCATGCAAGAAACTGCGTGGAGGCGTCATTTTTATTGATCAAGTGCCGAAGAGCGCGTCAGGAAAAATCCTGAGAAAGCTGTTGAGGGCTAGGGCCAGTGAAGATTTTGCTAAGCTAAATCAATGAATAAGGTAGATAAGTTATAGATTAAAGAAGGCTGCGATTAGGATGAAGAGCATTTATTTACTATCCAGAATAGTGTATTTTAAAGCCTTGTATTTGGATTTCAATAATTTTTAGTCTAAATTAATAAACATTTATTCAGCAACAGTCTTATCATGGTGTTTATCAAATACAAGAATGCTGACAGTTGTTAGAAATAGAAAGTTTGAAGATCGATTTGATTGATCAACGTGAAGGACACTCTATTTGTAGTAACAAGAAAAATTTATACTTTAAATAATACCGGATATCTGCAGTAAACAGTAACAGGCAGGATATTGACAATCGAAAGCACGTTGTCCGAAAGGAAAGCACCAGGAAGATTCTAAGGAAGGGGAAAGGCAGAGAAAATGATCCGCCTCGAGACTGTTCACTTACTAGTGAAAGAGATGTGTTGAGAAGGAT